TTACATATCAAACATGTAAAAAATTAAAGATATGTAGATTACCATTCAAAAATAAAAATAAAAAGGGAAAATCACATGGAATGGTACAAAAATCTTGATAAATAAATATGTAATATAACTATTCTTTTTTTTTTTATTATTATTATTATTATTACTACGAGTATTTATTGGATCAGATTATCCAATGATCTAATCTAACACAAATTAATTAGGTTGATTTTTTTTTAGTCCAATTTCTTTCAATATGACTTCAATGACAAATTGTCTGTTGCATTCGGTCAGAACTATTAAACAATAATCATATAAAGATATTATTATTTATTTTATTTTATTATTCTATTAATTAAATATAATTTAAAAAGTCAATTATTTTCATATCAAACCATATAGCCTGTTTTTAAAAAAGTTCTAAAAAAATGTTTTCAAATACAAATTTAGACAAAAATAAAATTTAAAACTTGTGACTCAATTCAATACAGGGAAATCAAATATAAATTAGTGAGGTTTATTATAATAAAAATAAATAACAGAAATTTAACCCAACTTAATCTATAAATCTTTTTTATTAAATTTATTAGGTTGAATGGTAAGATTGTTCAAACTCTAGTAATAATAAAAGTGATGATAGATGGAAGTACATGTTGTACTGAGTGTCCAGCCAACAGTTGATTGGATGATCAGCCTTAGCATTTAAAATAATTTATTCTCAAACTGAAAGATCATTAATAATAAGAATGAATCAATTGGTTAATTTTTTAATAATGATTAAACCAATAAAATATATTTATCAATTATTAAGTTGTAATTCGGACAATATTAATTAAAAATTTATTCAAAAATGTATAAATATAAGTTTAAGATAATAAAATATTTTAATAGATTGATTGTATTATGAAAAGTTATTCCGTCGTCTACTAATTTAATTTAAGCAATTAGAATACTTTTACAAATAGTCTCACCTCACCATTTAAAGGAAAGAAAGTGCAGATACTTAAATTATAAAGCACTCTGAAATTTGTAAGAAACTATATACACCAAATACTTCAGCTAAAACACATGCTATATTGACCATCATGTTTTTGTAAGTCACAAATTTACATGCAAATATTTTTTCTTCTTTAAGCAATTTTTCTAATTTAAACTGTCCTATTTCATAAAAATATCTCCCTAATAATCAATTTTCTTTCACACTTTTACTCTTTTGTATTTCTTCCATAGCAATAGCGAATGTTCTAACTCAGTTTAATATGGTTTTCATCAAATAATCATTTAATTAATCATAAAAATTGTTTATTATTTAATACAAAATCTGAATTAAATTAAATAAATATTGAAGATTTACTTTGAACCAGCCTTTTGCTATTATAAAATTATAAACTATTTTTTACAACAAAATTGTGAAACATTTTCTTACAAACAAATTGTTAAAACATTTCATAGTAGAAAACTATCAAATACAATATATGATATGAATTATATTTACAAGGTTATTCTTATTATTAGTATTTTTACTGCAAGTAATTAATTTGATTGAAAATTTGGTAAAATTTAAATAAATAGTCACTATAAGATAATTATTTTAGTTTTAAAAAATAGTTATTAAAAGATAAAATTGAAAAAATTATATTAAAATTTCTCTTTATTGATAGTTTAGATTATATTCATAGTTTTTATTTTCTCTAATTTTAAAAACAAATTACACAATTTTATGATAACAAATCGTTATGTAAAGTTAAAAATAGTCTCCTTACTAGATAGTATTATCTTATTAAAATAGACCATAGTACTTACAGGATTATCTACAAATATAAAGAACATAACTGTTTATTCATTTGCGAATATTTTTTCTGCACTTTATTCTCAAAATTTTTATTATAAAATGTTACATCCTCTTGTTTTTTTGAAGTCATATTTTGTATTGATCTATAAGACACTGTAATTTGTGACAACCTTTTCTATTTATTGGAGAGTGAATACAAAGCCTAAACACTTACAGACAATAATAAATAAATAATTTAAAGTCTATCCATCTGTTAGAAAAACTTTTTTATGCACTTTACTGATTTTTTTTGAAAAAATATTATATCCCTTGAACTCATATTTGATATTGTTTTATCTGTGACAATTTTTTCTATTGGTCGAAAGTGAATATCATTTGTCTTATGTTAAATAAATAGAACAAAACTCTCACTTTCTTTTTTTTGTCCTCTTAACTAGAAAAACATTTCAAAATATATTTTAAAACAAGAGAATAAATCTTTTAATTGAATTTTTTAAAAATAATTATCACTATTGTGTGTCTATTTTGTGCTAACACTCAAATTTAAAAAAACTTTCTAGTTTCTCAAAATTAGAAAAATAACTAAAACTAAATTTGGTAGAATAAAATTTAGGATTTAAAACCTAAGGTTTATAATTGTTTTTAATTCTAAAAATTAATATTAACAACAACAAAAAAAATTACCACAAATTCCAAGATAAAAAAACATAACTAAATAAAATATAAATAAGTTTGAACCTTTCACATTCGACTTATTTTGGTAAAGATAAGAAATTAGTTGAGGAGTCACTTCACTTAACTGGAGAGACAAAAGGTTAGGTCTGTCAGTCATTAATAACTGAAAAAATAAAATATATTTATTGTCAAAACAACTTTTACAACAGAGTAGTCTCTACCACAAATAAATAAATAAATTAAATATATAATACAAATACAGCAAAATCCATTTACACAGTGATTTCAACTCATCCTTCATGCGCAACCGCCACTAATTGAAGCTTGTTGTCACCATTATTGTGACTATTACTATTATTATTATTGTTGTTAGAAGCACGAAACGATTCGTTTTGGTGTGGCTTTCTTCTGTGCTTGAAAAAATAAAGCAGCGCCGAAGCCACTAACAGGACGCCACCTGTTATTCCGCACACCAGACTCGCCGTCATCAGCGCCTGTCCCACGTGGCTTCTTCCGCCGCCGCTAACTCCCCACCACGGCGGCGGAAGGGCCTCCGTCGCGTTACCGAGTGGAACGTCAGAAGCAGAAGAGCCCTTGGTGGTACTGAAGAAGGACTTCATCTCCGGCGAGGAATTGGCCGGCGGTGAGGCCTGGAAGAAGAGGCCGTGCTCCGACGGCCGGAGATCTCGCCCAGCGGAGGAACTTCCGGTGAAGAGCAGCGCAATCGCGATGAGGATCGCGGTGGTGACTCCCCAGAGCGACAACATCAGAAGAAACGGGTTGAGCTAGCGTAAACACAGGAGAACGGTAGTGACTGGTTTGAACGGTATATAAATATAAATATATAAATAAATATATTAAAATACTGGTTAAGATGAATAGTTTAATTTACATATATTATTATTTTCAATTTTATATTAATAAAAAATGTTCTATGCAATTTATAAAATAATTATTATCATGTTTAATATTTTTAATTAGAAAGGAAAATTTTAGATTAATATAAAAACACTCATCCTTTTATTAATATTAGTATAATATTAATGTATTATTTACTTTCATGAATCAAAGTAAAGCATTTTATATCATTGATTATAAAATATAGTTTTTCCTTCAAATTAATTCATGCACTTTTTAAAATCACTCAACATTATTTAATTATAGTTATCTATTTTCCACAATTATTTAATAATTTTGTAAGGTTTATTTCTGAAATTTATATTTTTCAAAAGAAAAAAAAACTGTTTGTTGAGTGTTATATTTTTATTTCTTTTGGGTTGCTTAGGTTTTAAGCGTTTCCTTGTGTGACTACCTGTCCCTCTCACCACTTGCTGTAGTGTCCTTTTCACGTTATTGTTTTCTATTTCCTTTTATTTTTTATTTTCTCATTATCATGTCAAAATTATACCTTTTTTCTGTTACTTTAATTCCCATTTTATATTGACAGGGAGTTTATTGAAAAGAAATGTTAAAAAAATAATAGTTCATAGCTTATGGGATACCACTAAAGTTGAGTCTCATATAATTTTTTTCTCAAACACTTAAGTCTGTTTGATTAATTTACCAAGACATCATTATTCTATTTTGTATCGAGTTGAATAGGAGTCTGATGAATACAAACCTGTTTTACCTTTTGAATTATTTTTCCAAAATGATAGTCAGTATTTAGTACTATTTATTCATTTTTATTTTATATTTTACAAAACCCACATCTTAATATTTTATTTAATTGATGTGTTTAAGACATAAAATATTAATTTTATTATTATGAATCAAAATCATAAAATTCTGTGTATGATTGGCAATTTTAATGTCCTTGCTCCTCGATGTAATGAGCAAAAGGATTTTCAAATCATTGTCTTTTATCATCTATGTTACAAATATGTACTCCCAATTGTTTTGAAATAGGAAATAGATCTCAGAATTAAATAGCAAAATAATTTAAAGGGGCTCACATGTTTCTTCATCCATGCTTATCCTTTTATAGGATGATAATCCTTATTAAAATGATTCAGAATTTGGCAAAAGAAAATATGTTGCTGTCCTTAACAAAGTGGACTCTACCAGATGCAAGTTGCTTGGTTTTTGAATTCTGCATCGATCAAGAACACAATGTATCATTGCAATTTCCTAATACGGAACAGCTACAGCTACTAAAGCTGCTGGATGAATATTATTATTAAAAGCACCAAATGAAAATGTTTTGTATTTTTCTTCTTTCAGACAAAGGGGACTACTACTCTGCAATCTGCACTAAAGAATCTCAGTAGACCTCAACATGCCACTGTTTGTTCTTCTTAAGTTGAGAAAGCTTCTCTTCCCAACTTTCTCCTCTTTGCTCAGCAACCCTCTTCAGTGTGTCTTGGATCCCAGGCATCATACCTTTCAGACCACAAAAATATATGTGGGCCCCGTTATCCAGGAGTTTGAAGATTTCATCACTATACTCCTCAATCTTATCCTGAACATACATTTTCCCCCCGTTCTTGTTCTTTTGTTCTCTGCTAAGGGCTCGATCATACCGGAAATTATCTGGATAATCCGTGAGGTATTTACTGAATTCCTCATCGTAGAGAAGACTGTCAGAGTTGGCAACGCCAAGGAAAAGCCATGCCAGTCCACCGAACTTGTATGTAGGGACAGATTCCATGAACATTCGACGTAGATAGCCTCTGAATGGAGCAACACCAGTGCCAGTGGCAATCATTATATGGGTAGCATTAGGGTCATCCTCAGGCAAAAGCATTATCTTCCCTGAAGGGCCTGCCAAAAAATTGTAGATGACTCAATTCCTACCCAGAAAGATGCAAGCTCATCAACATTCATAATAGTTTGCCAATAGATCTCTAGTGGGTAGGTTTTGTTATGCATCCTTCTACATCACTACCACATAATTATACAATGAATGCACTTCAATTATGAGAAACTTAGCAGTGTACGCATTAATTACTAGGAAAGCGGAAACTGCACATTGCATAAATCAAATAGGGGTAGAACAATAACAACCAAAACTTTCTAACTCATACTCATGATGAATATAGAAATGCAGTCATGAACTAACCCGTAAGCTATTGTTCAATATATACTTTCTCCTTGTTTGGTTTATCACATTTCTTTACCATGCTCCATACGATAAGAGTTTGATGTTAACCAATAGAACAAATGTTATATTTAAGAGCTGCTAAAGTGTGAACAACTGGTTCACTAGTATACTGCATGAAAACCTTACAAAGTTCAGAGAATTTAAGCACATCAAATCACCTTGTCTGTTCAATTTCAAATCATTGTTTATGAAAATGAGATTTTTTTCTCAATCACAACGTTCATCATTTAAGCACATTGCTGTCTTCACATACGATTCTACCATTCGCAACATAAAGTCCAATAGATTAAACAGAAAACAAACAGCAGGATACAAGTTATATTCCAACATTACATTGAGGAAGTATAGATTAGCAAACACACTCTGGTAAGGTGCGTAGAACACACCTATGGTAACAGCAAAAACAAGAAACAACTGATCACGACAACATCAATATATAAAAAGAGATTAAAACTTGAGCACGGTGCACCAAGGCATCACTCTGTTGGAATACAAATTTTGGGAAGTTACACAAGAAATTAGAGAGTATGTCAACCTTTGCTCAAGTAGAAAGAGTTAAGCCTTACTTACCTGTGATCTTAATTTTGTCTCCAGGCTTTGAGTCACACAAAAAATTGCTACAAACGCCATTCTTGGATGGATCTTCCTTTCCTGTCTCAGGATCATAGTAAACAGCACGGCGCACACACAAGCTGGCTGTTTTACCATCAAAAAAGTCTCCATACCTCGTGGAAGCAATTGAATACAGTCGTACATTATGGGGAGCCCCAGGTTTCTTTGGATTTTCACCCTGTCACCCATGTAAAGTGGTATTTACAAGTTGTGAAACTAATTTAGAATTTTAACTGCATTAACTCCTAAATCTGATCCGATGAAAAAGAAAAAAAAAACGCTTTATACATGAATCAATAAGCCCAAAAGACACCATTAGTTTTGAGATGGAAGGTGAGAGGGGAGACAGAATAAGCTTAAACTCTGCTGATGACCATTGATCACCAAAATCCTATAGGAAAAGGACTCATAATTAAACATAATTAATATTCAAAACCCTTTCCTCCATCAAGATCACTTCATCAAAAAAATCTTAAGGCAAAGATCAATCATCATGGATTACCAGCAGTAATCAGAAAGAATGAGAGGGAAGCATAGTAATAAGTCACTTACTGGAGGAATAACACCATAACTCTGTCCTTCCCAGTAGGGAACATTTCCACCATGATCAATCACAATATGACAAGTTTCCCCAGGAGCTTTGGGTCCCACAAGCCTCTCAACAGACACAATAGTTGCTGTATAGGGCTCTTTAGGCTTGTGCAAGTTCAATGGAGGTTCTTTAGCATCTTCCAGTTCTAAAGGTGAGACAGAAACTTTGGGTACGCTTGCTTGTTGCACTGACATGCATACCACATTCCTACTTCTTAAAGAACTGTTAGCCTTCAAATCCAAAGTTAATACTGGTGCCCATGACTTTTCCCGAAAGTTTAAGTTAGGGGCCTGCACCGTCAAGTGTAATTTTTGTTAAAAATAAACTGCAGTATTATGTTCTTAGTTCTTTGAAAATCAATTAATATATAACAACATATGCATCTATGAAAACAAAATTGTACAAACCCAATACACATGTGTTAAGTAGACACTCTGACTAAAACACCACTGTTCTGGGAAAACCAAAATGCATCAATGCTAAAGCTCTACATTTCTAATATAGAATTAAAAATACTCAGTTGCACCATACAAGTAGAAGACCATATATAACACCAGTTAACAACTACAACCAAAAGATTTTTTTGACCAAAAGATAAAACTTTCACCTTTGCCCGATGTTTGTTCCACTCCATTACAGTTTTGCATGTATAGAAATGAAGCAAATCAAATCTATAGTAAAACATAGCCCTTTGGCCCCTTTCTAAACTCTCAGAAATAAACATGTTCATCCACTAATCTGTGTAATTGAACTTGACCCCTCAAGGTATTCTAATAGCCATACCAAATCAACATAATCATAAAAAAGTTAGCATAACTACATATTATTCACAGTTGGATCGGTTATTTAACATGACACAGAGTAGAAGCATCAAATAACTTCCAAAGTCAAAAGGCAGAAAAAACGAAACAGGAGTACTATCAAACCTTGAACGCAGATCTTCTGAGAGACAAATCGCTGCCAATAGGAACGGTTACAGCCGCCTGCTAAACCCCATAAAAGTTATAGTGCTCGTTAATTAAATTTCATGCACCAACTGATAAAATGAATTATCACTTAAAACTCCACTCAGGTTAAATTTCTCAGCTTTGACTTTCTACAAACACATCTCCACACACACCAAAAAGAAAAACCCAAACAAAAATAGAGAAAAGAGAAAGTAAAAATGAAAAGTTTGAATTTTTATTCCGATTAGAGTGACCCATTGATTCTGGAAAGCCCAAAACAGTGACAACATGGAGCAAAGGCAATGAGTGAAAGGGAAGTACCTGAGACAAAGTCAAATGAAACATCCTGAGATCGAGAACAAAGAGGCTGTAGTGGCTATCAGAGCAGAAGATGTGATTGGAAAAAGGGTAGATTTGAAAAACAGAACAGTTCTTAGAAGGGTCTAATATAAAGAAGCTAGCACACCAAGGACTGTTCAAACTGGTCTTGATTTGGGTTTTTCGATGATCCTTTGGCGAAAGGGAAAGGTCGGGTTTGTTTTTTGGCTCCTGGAGTGTCAGATAATCTCTACCACCTTCCCTTGAATAAGGCTGCTATAGTTAGACCAATTAAGGAGTACTTTAATTTAATTAAACACTCTTAATATAATTATTAATTACTCATTCAGTTTATTATTATTTAAAAAATATAAATAATATTTTATATTGTTGTATTATTAGGGGTAAAAGAGGTCTGGATTTGCGGCCTGGTCCACTATCTGCAAAATTTTGACAAATTGGATTGGTGGTGTTTTTAATCTTTTACCCATCTTGTTAAAAAAATTTCAACCTATTTTCTTGGGTAACCCACCCTAGCGGCTAAACGGGTCAATAGTATTACTACTAACTTTTTTAAATAATTTTGTTACTATTTATTTTTAAAAGAAAAATATACCTATAATGTTTAATAAAATCCAAAAATAAATATATTATGAAAATAGCATCGGTATCTTCTAATGTTTGAATAGAGATAAGGAAAGTAATATAGTGGTTTCTTTTATTGTTAAATGAAGTTATTAACAAATATAAAAAACTTGTGTTTGTTTCTATTTTTAATATAATTTTTAAATTGAATTAATAGTTATTATAATATTTTTTTATAGTCTGTATAGAAATATATCAAATTTAATAAAGTTATTGCAAGTGATGATTTTTTTTTAGATATTTAATCGTTTGTTTTACATGCCTAAAAGTTGTATATAATTTGAGAGTCAAACTTACTAAAATGTTTTTAAATAAAAGATTGTGATGGAATTAAGTTCTAAAAATAGACAATATAATGATGACAATGTCTAAGAAATATGTGATGATCAAAACATTAACATGTATAGTCAAAATCTAAACTACTATAATTAAAAAAAAAAGGTATATAAGAACTTTTGTTTAGTCCTGTAAAATACATTTTCAAAATGAATATATTTAGATTAATAATCAGTCCATAAAATGGTTATTTAGTCTGTAATTATATTAAAAAAATTGTCTTTACTTTTAAATATTTACTTTTAAAATTTAAATAATTATTCATAATAAAACACTATTTTCAGTTTTATCATTTCGGTAATTACTTTTTTTAATTCAAATAATTATGAAATAATTATTTACACTTTTATCATTCTAATAACTACTTTTTTTAATTTAAATAATTATTCATAATAAAAAAATTATTTAGACGATATTACTTATAATACTTTTTTCTTAAATAACTAAAATTTATTTTATCTATAATTATATACACTTTTTTTTGTTTTTTTTTCAACTTTATCATTTTAATTACTATTTTTAATATTTAAATAATCATATATAACAATACATAAATTATAAATAAATATAAATTTACCTAATATATTAATTTAATAACATTATAACATCATCACCTACTAATTTAATATAACAAACTTATGAGAATAATCATTCAACATTTAATTTTATTTTTTTAAATAATGAAACAAGCATGCCGCGTTCGTTATAAAGAACTCAAGGAAAATATTGTAATTTGATTGCGTAAACAAGTCATTTTTGTTGATGATTAATAAAATAAGTTATTTTTTATTTTCTATTTAATAAAAATCATAATCTATTTATATACATATATATATATATATACATATGTATATATATATATGTATATATATATATGTATATATATATATATATATATATGTATATATATATATATATATATATGCCAAAGAGTTTATAACAATCATCACAACTACAAAATCAAATGAACTACACATCCTTAATTGCATATAAAAATTTTCAAATATAGTGGAAATAAAATAATAATAATACATGTTTTATGCGCAATGTAACCTCCATTGTAAATTTAGAAGCAACAAAAATTGTTCAATACACAAATGCATTAAAAAGCATATAAAATTATTAATATTTAATTAATATTTGTATAAACTCTTGAAATATCAACATATAATGTTATAAAAATATAATATGTAGCGTCTAAAACACTAATAATAAATACTTTACTATTATTTAATAATTAAATTATCCATTAACCCGTGTTATTATTGTATCAGAGTAAAACTATGATTAAAAATTCTATTTTTTCCTAATTAAACAATTTTTTTTCACAAATAGAATTATATATTTTATTAAGGAGTGTACAATTTCCATATTCTAAAAATGTGATTATGTAACATAAAAGAAGCATTAAAATGTATATCAAAGCAAATAATTTTAGATAAAACAGCACACATGGGCCATACGTGTATCAGAAAGGAGAAAATAAAATATAAATAAATAAATTAGGTGAAACACTAGAAATTCAAGAAAATGAGAGTAGATATGTTATTCAAGAGAATAGAAATCAATAATTAATTGTACAATTTCAATAATCTGTTAGAAAAATTACATGAAAAGAGACCTTTGAAACAATTATATCCGTTTCAGCATTTCAAAAGTCCGCTTTTTTCTCTTTAAAATTTTCAGTGTAAATGTGAGAGAATTTACAAAAATATAAATAAAACTTTGTATTTCAAATATTATATGTTACAACTCAACTTATAACTAAAGTGTTTCTATTGAAACAAATTACACAATATTCTTGTTGGATCACGTATATTCATGAACTGTAATTTACTCCTTACATAAAAGGTCAAGTCTTTTAAAAATGATCAGACAAAAGTTTAAAATTAATATAAAATATCATTAAAACCTTAATAAGAAGCTTGCATCAAAGAAAAAGTTTAAAAAAATTGTGGTTATACAGTACAACCTACCTGAGTAATATAAGACTTCATAGAATAATCTTTGAATTGAATATTACCTTACAAAAACAATTACCTGAGATTACCTTACACAAGAATAATTATGACAATAAAAAGTTGAAAATTTTACTTTACTAATATCAAAGGGTAACCCCTGAACTACTAGTTGTCAAAATGCAATGAATTTTCTGGATGATACTAATATTTTAATTAAATTAAAAACAGCTTCCACATAGATTTCAAAGCTATGATCCAATAACAAAAATTTCCTCCAGCAAAATTGAAAGGTAGTTCGATTGGTATAAAGTGGCAACGAAAAAATTAATAGACACTAAAAAGACTACTCAGTACTTAACAGGGGCAAGAATATCAAGTTGAGGACCGAGTTTCTCATCAGCAATCTTCTCGGCTTTCACCCTCAATTTGTTGAGCTGCTTCTTTCTCTCGTAAACCAACTCTGCCTTATCCTTTCTCTTCTTCTCCAACTCCTGCGAGCAATAATAAAACAATTACTTAAATAACCAAACACACCTAATATGAAAAGGCATAACATTCACACAACAGAAGCACAAATTTTCCATCAATCACTTAGCATGCCCTCCAAGATTGAACAAGACAATTTTTTTTATAAGCGAGTACATCATATTAAAAAAATAGTAACTATAAACTCCCGATTGGCACAATCATAATAATCATAATATTTGATAGCCAATAGGCAATACTAGATACATGAAATATCCACCCACATTCCCAAACTCCATCTTTGCCCTATCACAAGATTAATTAACAACAGCTAAATAATAATCATAATATTTGATAGCAATGGGCAATACTAGATAAATGAAATGTACAACCACATTCCCAAACTCCATCTTTGTCTATCACAAGATTAGTTAACAACAGCTAAATAACAAACAAAAATATATTCTCCACACTGGGCAAGGAGATCAAATTAGAAGTACTCCAATCGCTTTTATAAAATAAAAAATTGCAACTAGGCCATAAGTTCACAGAGCAAAGACTTACCCTGATGGTATCGTAGTAGCTCCATCCAACTTCAGATGATAACCTGCCCAGCACACAATACTTGTGTCCTTTCTGAAGCCTCAAAACCCTGATACCAATTTCCATCAATTAGCTCAACGTCCACTATATAAACAACACCATTCATGCAATGCAGTTTAACAGGCAAGCCCTAGCAATAAAAGAATTTTCCACACTTGCATCCAATTATAAATCAGCATACATGGTAAGTTCATTAATCGCCACAGAAAAAAAAACTAATAGCGTATCATACAAAGAACAATTATGATCCCTAGCTAACACATGTACAATTAAAGTATGACGCGTTATTAAAAATCACAAAAAAAGTAGTTTAGGAGGATAAAATACATACTTGAGAGCGTCAGGAACAACCATTCTCTTGGTCTTGTCATACGGAGGAGGGATCCCCTCGTAAACCTTCAAACGATCAAGAGCAGCTTCCCCACGTTTTGTCTTGTGCGGTATCATTCTACAAAACACAATACGATATTTTAAAACCTCACACAACGAATTAAAACAAAGACAGTAGAAACTGACCTTAAAAGCCCCGAGCATAATCATAAGTTTTCGTAAAAACAAAGAATAAAGAAAAAGAAAGAAACATTTGAAGAGAGAAGTGACAGACCCACGAACGGTACGCCAGAAGATCTTGGCGGGGGCGCGGAAATGAATTGGGCCATGAGAAGGCTTGGTGTTCATGCGTTTGCGCAGGAATCTCATGTACTTCATCTTCTGTCTAACGAGGCCGCCGGAGATGCAGATCTCTTCGCACCGCACCACCACTACCTTTTGGCCGTTGAGAAGTTCTTTTGCCACAATGGACGCAAGTCGACCCAGCATGTGGTGCCGCGCGTCAACCACCACCCTCTTCGCGCAGATTCCCGAACCTGACACCATCTTCACTTCACCACACAACACAACGGCACAAACCCTTTTCTCTCACGGTGCCCGGTGCTTAAGGAGGAGAACATTAGGGTTTTTGAAGTTGCCTCTGGGCTGTCGTTTTGGGCCGAGCCCAACTCGTTTAGCATACTTTTTATGTAACTAATTATCATTTAGGTTTTTTAACCCTGTTCAATATAAAAGTATCAAATTTTTATATATAATGTTTAGGAATGTGAGAAATCATCTTCAACCACACCTAACTATTACCGTCTTCTATATAAATATATCTTTTAATAATTTTAGCAATTTTTCTAGTAAAAATCAATAAATATAAAATTTTTTGCTACAATTTATGGTTGGTACAATATCCAATGAGAGCTTATTGTCTTCTGCTATC